TAAATAAATTTTAATATCTAATAACTTAATTAAATAAGACAGAATTAAAATTTTATTTTAAAAAAATAATCTATTAAAATTTATCTAATATACTAATCTTTTTATACTGGATCATAATTTAAATCAACTTTTTATTTATTTTAATTATTTTATTATACTTTAATTTAATAATAAATAAAATATTACTTTACTAAAAAAAAAAAAACTAAAATAAAATCATTTTTTTTTTGAAAAAAAAGGATATTTTAAATATAATTACTATTAATTTATAATATCAGAACTTTAAATTATGCAATTAAATTTGATAAATATATATTTAAATTACTTTAAATTTGATAAATATATATTTTAAATTATATAAAAATTAAATCAATAATGCTAATGATATTAAAATTTAAAATTTAGTAATTAAATTATTTACTATATAATTACTATATTACATGTACATGTAAATAATTTTGTCTTTCGTTTGGCGCGTATCAATAATTACTAATTCGTTCATCATATCATATCACATTACACTTCAGATAATATAACAGCTGTTAAAACGCAATTCGGATTCTAATATTTTTAGACTTTACAGAATACTAACTTTGGGGCTGCATCGGTCGATGTCTTAGATGTGATAATTAGCCTCGAATATTTTGACACAGCTGAGAGCTGAGCATCTCTAAGTTTTAAAATTGTATTCTATACATTCTGAAATTTTATTTTATTTCAGTTGATGTATTTTAATTATGTTCTTGAGATACGTAGCTGATGTCGTATTTCTACACGATATCTTTGAACTTGTATATAAAGTAAATCCAAAACGACATGATCACTTCGTGAGTAAAGAGATGAAATAAGTACCAATGTGAGAGAATTGCAACTATCAATAAACGCCTGACATTAACTATAGAAAAATTTTCTTAAATTCCTTGTTTCAAAATAATGATAATTTTATTAACTCTATTTCAACTTATGAATTATTCCTGAATAAATAACAAGAATGATTAAGTTTATTTATTTAAAATATTCATATATTTGATAATTAGAAGTAATAAGCTTGTAATCAAGTCAGCTACATAGAAATTTTAAATCTATGTTTGGAGCGAAAGGTCCATAAAATATTTTAATAGTTCATCCTCTCTATTAGAAGCTTCAATAGAAATGAACCGTTCGGTATGCTTCTGTATACTTGGATTTTTTTAAAAAATTTTAGATTGAATAATGGTTTTACGTGTAATAGTACAATTAGTTTTTAATTCAACCACCACATTATCGAGATGCGTGCAAGTACATACTCATGTGTCATATCAGTTTAATTAATAGGCAGCGGATATTAAAATCACGATTTTGGCAATTAGAGGGTAGCTTTTCCTCTTGATTGGCATAAATACGGTATACCGATTAAATCACAAATTTAAATTTTTTAAATTTAAAATAATTTTATTTACAAAAAAAAATGATATTAAATGAGAAAGAAAAAAATAAAAAGCTATTTTTAAAATGGCAGAGAACCCACTGGCCCATTGGCATTTCCATTATTTTCACCATTATGCGAGCCCGTGTCAAAATTACCATTACCACTACCCAAATTACTGCCAATATTGTTATTTCCGTTATTGGCACCAGAAGTAGTACCGCCGCCATTTCCATTATTGCTTCCATCATTGCTACCGATCACGTTATTGCCGTTATTAAATCCGCTGCCTGGATCTGTACTTGCGCTCGCGTTATTACTTCCGTTGTTATTGCCAATCGAATTACTTCCGTTGTTTCCTCCACCATTATTAATACCATTACCACTACCAATGCTACCAGTACCACCGTTATTATTTCCTATGTTGCCTGAACCAGTGTTACCGCACCCGATGTTATTTAGGTCGGCTGAACAATTGGCAGGAATCGGTGCAGCGGTACTAATTGCAATGCAGAGAAAAGCAGAGATGCATGCCAAAATTATATATTTTAATGAAGGATGCATGTTTTTAAATTGTGTATTGAATTGGTTTAGTTTTTTGTATCTTTTAATTGTATTGATGATATTTTTTAAACGAACTCTTGACAGTCTTTTTATAACTGTTTTTACGCGAACGATTAGTGAATTTAGTATTCTACCGTTAAGTACCTAATGACATAAGTTTTGCACATTCCATTGAGTAAGCCACGGCCATTTTCTTGGACATTCTCATTCAATATGATTTTTCACACTTCTCTGTCATATCTCTTACAACGATAAATTTAGGCGCAAAGCCTCTCTGATTGTCAATTTTGGTTGGAAATTTGTAGTGCTTAGAGGCTGTGTTTGGGATGATCTATAAAAAAATTCTTAATTTGGGAGATGAATCGGGGTTCTCTAAAGAGACTATTATCTTAGGCAAATTGTTTGTACATTAATACATGTAATTCGTTAGACTTGATTTCACATCACCTTTCTCCATTTTACGTGGCTGAAATTTAAAATCGACGACGGCAAATGATATTAATTAATAGCGCCAAATCATATCATTTCTCTTGTTTATGTTCCATATACATGTAATGTACGAACAGAAAAAGTCAGAAAAACGAGGTATTATTTCTAATAAAAATATGCTTCTTATGATAAGTAATAAAAGCCACCTCCCGCAAAAATCAGTAACAAGTTTTTAAATGCCCAAGTCTCATGCATGCTAAATTATATTGAAGAGGTTGATCTTTATTGAAAGTGACAGAGAAAAAAATCGTTAGACTATTCTCCACCTTGAAGAAAGAAATTTGTTGTTGTGATTTAGTTGAATTTTTAGCGTGGTGAAGTAAATCCAAAAATTCAAAGCAATTTTCGCATAAAATATTAGGAAACAATTAAGACCCGCGAATAATACGAATTATTTTTACCGCAATAAATTCTTTTCGCTTAAGTTATTATTAAATTCATTATAACAAGCAAAAATATCAACAACACAAGCGATCAGTGTTGGCATTTGAACTATGACATTATCCAAATGTTATATGTCCAATTGAAAATAATATGTCAATTAGTCCAAATGCCAACACTGCAAGCGATAATTCATACATCTCTTCCATATCCCCGCGCCCTAATTCATGTTAGTTGACAAATTTTTGTCCGATGTTTTTGGTGCATGTTCGTTGTGCGAATTTGCTGTTTAAAAGGATGGTAGATAGATGGCAAAGAACTTTAGTTCGGTGGTGATCAATGAAACTAAAACAATGTAATGTTTCATTCGAATAGTAACGGTATCAATCACATATTGTGGTTTTAATGAATAATAGGGCACGCATATATAAATACATGTAACGTTTATATTTGTTTACACCACCATTATTTAAACGTCAAACGATTACAACAATGCATATAGTGTATTTGTTAAAGATATAAATACGTCTACATTAAAGATATCGAAGAAGAATAAATTAATGTCTCTATCAAGATTTGTTTTACATTGAGAACAGCAAAACATCTTAGCTGTCTATGAATATAACCACAGAATCCACAAGTTTTGCTTGCGTATAAATTACTACTTGACACCAGGGATGCTTATGATCAGACACTGTTGAAAACAATAATGTGATCATGTATATACATGGCTTGAGCTGTCTTGGAACCAACATGTCATTGCCATTTCTTGTGTGCAAAATTCAGGTAATAATATTATATAATAATTTACACAAGCCATTTAGCCAGTTTATAATGATAATTATTCACATGATAACAGATCCTCTTGTAAATACGTAATATAACATGATGTAATCTATAATTAAAGTGGTATATATGTTAAATTATAATAAATATTAAATAAACAAATGAATTAATAAATAAATTTGATCAATATAATTTTTTCCTATTTAGTAACTATTTTACTTGGTTCATAACCAGTCATGAACATATATATACCTGAATCACTTCTAATTTTTTTATTAAATTATTGAATATACAAATTTTATTAAAGTGTTCTATTATATACTAAAATATTAATATTATTATATATTAATATAAAATATAAAAAACCAAATAAAGATCTTTTTTGTATTTTTAAAAATAAAGAATCTTGATTTTTGATTCATATTTCAAGTGATTTTAGATATACAAAGATAAAATTCATCAAGATAATTTATAACAAAATAATTATCACATTCAAGTTAACTCTATTAACTTGATTTTATAAAGAAATACATATTTATTACAAGACTTATTCCAATATTTCGAAAGTATTATAATTAATTATTGAGGATTCTTTTTAAAATGGAACTTCATCTTGAATTTTTCATAATTTGTAATAAAGTTAAAAAAATTTTCTTTAATCAAGTTATTAATAGAGTCATTTTATATATTATAGAAAGTATGCTCTCAAATTTTTTTTTGATTAATATCTTCTTTTTTAATCATGATAAGATATTGATTATATATTAATCATGCTATTTTTATCTATTATCTAAATTTCATTTACTTTTTCTAAGTGATATCTTTTCTTCTTTTGTGATTTGTAATAGAACATAATTCATTTATATTATATCACAAATACTACAATAATTGCAAGTAAGTTTTCTATAAGTTCTCCAGTTTCATTATTATTGATTCACAAGCTGAGTTCAGCTTTTTTTTCAAGAATTCACTCCACGAGTTCAGATTCAAAGTGACACAAGCAGTCTTTCAAATATCATCATCTTAAATTTCATTAGAATATACTCATTCCAAAAGAAAAACAAATCCTCTGCATTTTCAGTTAAGTCTTGAATTGAAGTTACTGATAATCTCATGTTCTGAATAATGTTGCCAGAGATCTGTAATCTGTCATTCAAAGATCATCTCATTGATATTCTGAACTGACTCTGGCATAACAAACTTTGACCTTTTGCATGGATTGCTGGTCATTTTCAGAGACTCTGTGTACATCTGTATTTGAGTAGAATTGTATTTCTCCAGGCATTTTAACAATAGTAACCTTTCTGGAAGCAGCCCATCATCACAACGTTTCAATCGAGACATCATATATTTCTTGAATCTTTTTTGCGCTTAGGTAGGAGGTAATCTTGCTTTAATCCAGATTGTATTTTGCTTCTTAATGTAGATAAAATATGTTCTTTGTTGAGATAATATACAATACAGTATTTGTAAAACTTATTTTTCCTTATATTTAGTATGAAACGCAGAGATGCAAGTTAAACAGAACTGGTTTTCGAATTTATTTAATAATACGAAATGTGTGTTTTATTCTGGAATGTTCGAAAATCACGCGACGGTGATTCTCTTAAAAAATTCCATTCCCTTCAGTTTGAATGCTGATGTTCATTTAACAACCAAATTCTGATAATCGAATATTAGAACAATAATAAACTGAATTGTTTTTCTTGAGAGCCAATTAAAAATTTTTAGAGACAACTCGATTTAACGACGACGAATTAAAATTGATATAACAGCAGTGAATGGTCACTTAAAAGAATATCGTGAACAAGACTATTTCCAGCTTGTCGTATTACAAGAAAATGAAACATAGTTAACGCACTAAATGCGCCAAAAAAATAAGAAAATACGTAATTTTTTCAGTTACTTAAGTCGAGGGAAAACAACGGTTTGGAGATTCGTTGAGTGACGAAATATGTTGTATCGAACTTTATATAAAGTGTCTTTTCGTTTCCAAATTGGTGCCTTCTTTAATAGGAATAATAGTTTGTTGTAAATATAGAACAAGACATTTTGCTTTTTTTCCAATTGTAGAGTGAAGTTTATAGGTTCCATTCTTTCATCAATACTTCTATACAACATTTTCTTATTACATAAATAAGCAAATTTTTATAATAGTTTCGGATGATAAAAACGAACGAATGTTTTTGGTTAGAAATCGAGAAGTTAGAATTTTCAAAGCGAGTAAAGTAAGGAAATTAAGTTGCAAGTGTTTCATTATAAGATCAAACTAAAACGGAAAGTTGATCTAGATCAACTTCCCACCAAAGGGATGGCGGGTAATTATTTTTGTCCGTTCTGAATCATTTCGTATGGTAAGCCTTAAAAAAACATAATAAAGATTATTTTCAAAATATCTCGAAGTATTACAGAAATATACGATTGCATTACAAAACAATACTACTCGGCATGAAATCCGTGAGAAATTTATGAAACGATGTTGAAATCTTCAAAAAATTCGTGATGAGACCGGCGAAGTACCAGTGATAGAAGATCTTCCTCTTGATTTTAGTGATAATAGTAATGTACAGGGTTAGTGATATTAGCAAATGCTCCACTCTAAGAGTGAATCAATGATAGGACGGGGAAATACGATCTTGGTAATTTGTGTTGATTAGGGGACCTGTATCAACTTTGGACAAATTTGGGTATATGTTTATGTGAAAATCTTTTGTCTGCTATTAAATAATACTCAGCGTAAACATAAAAATTTTGGTTTTTTGCTATTAATACGAATAAGTATATACACATTGCATACGGTTAGCACAATGCATCGATGAATGGTGATTGGAGATGTAAAGAGAATTTTTAATAAACAGAAATTTCACAAAACTGCGATTTAAGAAAAATGCTTGATAAAACGAAAAAAAGGGTCGAGAATTGATTGTATACTCGAACGTTTAATTTTCATTGAAACGAGAATGTAAATAAAAAAACTATAGTTAATAGTGCATGTACGTGTACATGTTAATAATCTACCCCGTAATTTTTTTCTACAGCCTTCTATATAGGATCATCGGTGTCATCGGTGGGAACATTTTACAAACTGATATCATTTTATATTTTTTATACATGTAATACAATTCAATTCTAATTATTTATATAGGCTTGTTAGTTGAAAGCAATATAAAAAGGAATCCCACCCAACGACAATATCCACCACTTAAACATTCTTTTATACACGACAAACACAATACATGTTCATCCATTCCTTTCATCACAAACAAAAATTCATTATATGGGACTCAACGCTTGATGGTTTGGTTGAGACCGCTTGCTGCGATGGTCGGGGCAGTATAGCTTTA